GATTTCAACACCTGATCTTTTTATCTTTTATTTTTTCTTCATTTTTTAATATATATATATATTAAAAACAATAGAAAAAAATAAAAGATAAGGAGATGCCTTCTTTATTTTTAATATATATATGTTATATAAAAATATGAAAAAACAATATAAAAGATAAGTGGGTCAGGTGTTGATATTAAAAATAAAGAGAATGCTTTCTTTATTTTTAATATATAAATATATATTATTATATATCAATTTCCCCAGATAGTTTTTAATCTATATTTTGGCCATAGATTTTGCCCAGTCATATTGACAGCTGGCAGTTTGTAAAAATGCTATTAGTTCCCATGTGGATTTTTATGAATAAAATCCATCCAATATTGACGAGGGCCATTAGCCTGAAACCATGGTCTCTAGGTGAACGCTTTTCAGTTTGTCAAAACTGGTGTTGTGGCTTTGTCACCGACCCGAGTCCTTTAATTTGCGGCGACGGTCAATAGATGGCGTCTAGTTTTGAATTTTTTTTTTTACGGAGAAGCGCTCTATGTTTTTATAGATCAATTTCCTCCCAATAAAATTTTCATCCATTTATATATATATATGAAAAAATAAGAAAGAATATATACTTAAGAGGTCAGGTCTTGATATTAAAAATAGAAAAATGTATATCTTGACCATTCACATGGACATTTTTAAATGGTAGAGCGCCATCTAGTGAAACAAAATTCAACTAAAAATTGATTTAAGGCTTTTTACATTATATTTGGACAACCTTTTTTTTTTTTTTTTTTGCTAAATCAAGAAAAGTTAAAATTCCAAATAAAAGACAATTCGCCGAGGGAAGACTTTCTTCCCAATACCATCCATACCCAGCCATTAATATTTATTTGATGCCTTTGATCTTGAAATTGTTTGTATCCTTCCTTTAATCACATATAGCCTCAATAGTACATTAGCATTAACTAATACTCCATAGTTTTATTATTTAACTGTATTATGTTAATTAGTATTTGCATATCCATCTCATTTTCTACTTCTTTATATGTATATATATTCAAAAAAGATGCATATATTGGATTTATAAATATTTTGTTTATAATACAATATAATGCGGCTTATGATTGTAGAACGACATTTGAAAATTATCCCCCAGTGTTTCTTTTAAACGAAAAATCGAAATTTATTTTAAGGGGAAATAACGATTATTTCTAACCTTAGGGATGGAGTATGAAAGGATGAATTCCCATCCCTGGACACTTTATTTTTCCTTTCATCATTGCTCTTCACAATTCATCCTATCATACTTCATCCCTAAGGTTAGAAATAAAAATAGAAATTTAAAATAAATTTCGATTTTTCGTTCAAAAGAAACACATGCGGGATAATTTTCAAATGTCGTTTTACAATTATTTTATTGTTCCAATATTTCGAGGGGTAACTCGCCTCTCTTTATCGAGAATGTTTATGTTTTTACTAAAACATGCGAGCACGCGTACACCACTCTCGTTCTAAAAAGGCCAATGAAATCTATATATATAAAATTGAATGTCTGTCTGTCTGTCTGTGTGTGTGTGTGTCCTCTATGGATTCAAAAACCATACATCCAATCGCCGTGAAAATTTGGGATATTATTAGGTGTATCCCCGGAAAGGTTTACGAAAAATAATTTCTTGAATATCTTGAATATCCTTAGAGTTATTTGCAGATTTGTATATTTAATTCGCAAGCAGCGCCGCCATTGAGACGGAGATAGGCTTAGTTTGCTGCTTCTGATGACCTTGGGTCATCGTGTGAGTCACAGCATGATGCTACAAAAACACTCTCTCTGGGGATTTTACAGCGTCGACAACCTGCAAGATTGCCTCTCTCATATATTATACTTTAAACATCTGCTTAATTAAAGCATTTTTCATTTGAAAGAGACTGCTCTCTTAACCCCCTTTAGACAACATTAAATGATATCCCGTGTCGATGATTTTGTAATGTATAGAATTAGGAAAGACAAAATTCACGATGACACGGCTCACAGGGAACGGTAAAAAATGTTCACTTTATCGAGGAAATACAAAATTCGGGATGACACGGCACACAGGGACCGGGAAAAAATGATCACTTTATCGAGAGATTCACGACCATGATTTTATTCAACTTATCGAGTATTTATCAAGGGACCGGGAAAATATGTTCACTAGATAAAACGATGATTTTGTAATGTAGAAAATTATGAAAGACAAAATTCAGGATGACACGGCACACAGGGACCGGGAAAAAATGTTCACTTTATCGAGAGATTCACATTTACGAGTTTCAAATTATCAAAATATATCTCTTTTTTTTATATAAGTTTATAGAGAATTGTTTTAACAAATGTTCGTTAGACAAACCTTTACTCGGGTAAAACCTCGGGCGAAGCCGGGTACGTCCGCTAGTAATCTATATATATAATTGCCTTATTCTGTCTGAAGCTCACGGATAGAATGCGCGCCCATTGGCTGCCGGCGAACACGTGTCCTCCCTGCCCCCCTCTATAGCCCTGTCTATAGCGGTCACTTTAGGCAACCCTGTTATCAGCAGTGTGATACATACACCTGTCTATACAGACCACCCTGTCTATAGCGGCCACTCTAGACAACCCTGTTATCAGCTGTGTGATACATACCCCTGTCTATACAGACCACCCTGTCTATAGCGACCACTCTAGACAACCCTGTTATCAGCTGTGTGATACATCCACCTGTCTATACAGACCACCCTGTATATAACGGCCATTCTAGATAACCCTGTTATCAGCTGTGTGATACATACACCTGTCTATAGCGGCCACTCTAGACAACTCTGTTATCAGCTGTGTGATACATCCACCTGTCTATACAGACCACCCTGTCTATAGCGGTCACTTTAGGCAACCCTGTTATCATCAGTGTGTTACATTCACCTGTCTATACAGACCACCCTGTCTATAGCGGTCACCTTAGGCAACCCTGTTATCAGCAGTGTGATACATACCCCTGTCTATACAGACCACCCTGCCTATAGCGACCACTCTAGACAACCCTGTTATCAGCTGTGTGATACATCCACCTGTCTATACAGACCACCCTGTCTATAGCGGCCACTCTAGGCAATCCTGTTATCAGCTGTGTGATACATCCACCTGTCTATACAGACCACCCTGTCTATAGCGGCCACTCTAGGCAACCCTAGGAAGCAAGATGTATACAAGGTGTAGACAAGATGAAGATTAAAACGTTTTTAAAATATATTCGCACTCGGGTAAAACCCGGGCGTTGCCCCCCCATTCGTCTAGTTGTAATATAATAATATATATCAAAAATAAAAAAGGCATATCCTGACCAGGAGCACATGTGCTTTACAGAAGGCAGAACGCCATCTGGTGGAACAAAAATCAACTAATCATTGATTTAACCTGTTCCCTGATATTTAGCCAACCCAATTTCTTGATAAATCTAGAAAAGCCATCCACGAACGCGTTTCGCGCTTTTTGGCGCTGGTCAGTGTGGAGTAGGCTGTACCACTGCGACCAAAAATATAAATATATGAATTTGTTTGAATTTCTAAGTTTTAACATCGTAATTATACCTGTCGAAGGACTGTTACACCCGAAAGCTTGTATATTGTCATGAAAAATGAAACTCTTCCCTCAGTGAATTGTTTTTTATTTATACCATTAATTCAAGATAATCCATTACGATCTAAAACATATTTAATGCTAAACCTTTAATAAAATTTTCCCTTTTAAAATAAATTGAATTTGAATTAAAAATGTGTAATGTGTTCCGTATTTATGACACGTAGCAGCCGAAACCTTTGCTTTAACATCACTATATTTCGATGCACTAGCGCGCCATCTGTTATCAAATTATAAAACTATTTTAGAGGCGTAATATTCTTTTTAATATAAAACAATTTCTACTGTCCTTACTGCGATGGAAAAATTAAAGGGAGGGCCTGGCTCATCACTATATTTCTTAGATGCTTTCTTCTTCTTTCTTATCTCCACTCAATCATATTAGGGTATCAAGTTGTGACCTTTGATGGTGTCTGTTTGACAACCATCATGACTGGGTGATGTTTGAATGATGATGGATAGATGTTTTAAAATATATAAATTCTTTTTGAAATTTAAAATATATGTGTGTGTGTACCTAAAGAGAGGTACTGTTGACTTTGCTTAGAATTTTTAATGAAACTGATTCCAATAATTATTAATTAAACATTATATTTATTGATTTAAAAGAGAGAGAGAGAGAACAAAATATAAAAGGGAAACTAATATTAAACAAAGGAACTTTTTTTTTGGTTAGCGCCTATTTTCCTGTGAGCTTACACACACTCTGAGGTAACAATTAATTAATATATATATACAAAAGGTACCTCTCCCTTTAATTAAGCATTAGAACACTACATTATGGTTATCACTATAGTAAAAAACTTTAATAAAGGTAATATGTAATGAGCCAAAACACTGGTTTTGACATATTCAGACAAAAACTGGTGTTTTAGGCTCATTCCATATAACCACTAGTAAATTTTTTACTAGCGTCGTAAACGTAATGTAAAGCGTAATGTAATGTGCAACGTCTGATACATAATTAATAGGATAGGTGCCTCGTTTGGTGCATGAATATATATAATGTGTTAAGTAAAAATCATTTTAAAATTATAATTTCTAGAAAAATACTCCTCTGTTAAATCGACCGTCAGATGTCGCGTCTTTCCCTATATAAACCTATTGTTGTTGTTTCCCGTTAGCCGGCTCAAATATTTTGTAGATATGTAAATAGGTAATCGTTTATTTCCTTTTTCTATTCGCCTTAAGTCAGATAGTAGCTTTCTCAAATTATCTATTTTATATTTCATAAGCTCAATTAAAACAAACTAGCAAATAATAATTCTCTAGAATTTCAAATGTAATAGTATGTATATACTCTTATGTTGAAAAGTATAGTTTAATAAATAAATTGTAAAAAAAAACTAATTATTAGTCAATAAGGCGTCCTGAAGGTGAAATTGAGCCACTCCGTTTCTAAGCGGCTACTGGTCTGAAGCCTTCGCCCCAACCTCCGAAGTTCATCTGGACAATCTATATATATAAAATTGAATGTCTGTCTGTGTGTGTGTGTGTGTCCTCTATGGATTCAAAACCCATACATCCAATCGCGGTGAAAATCAGGGATATTATTAGGCATATCCCCGGAAAGGTTTACGAAAAATAGTTTCTTTAATATCTTTAATATCCTTAGAGTTATTTGCAGATTTGTAGCTTTAACTCGCAAGCAGCGCCACCTTGCGACGGAGATAGGCTTAGGTCCTCCCCCCCCCCCCCGTCCGGCCGGTCAGTCCAAGTTCCCACCGACCAATCAGAGGGATCAAGAGGTCCTGGCGCGCGGGGGGCGGGTGACCTCCGGGAACTACGTCCATCTTCCATAAACGACCATGATTTTATTCAACTTATCGAGTATTTTTCAAGGGACCGGGAAAATATGTTCACTAGATAAAAAGATGATTTTGTAATGTAGAAAATTAGGAAAGACAAAATTCAGGATGACACGGCACACAGGGACCGGGAAAAAAATAATCACTTTATCGAGAGATTCACGACCATGATTTTATTCAACTTATCGAGTATTTTTCAAGGGACCGGGAAAATATGTTCACTAGATAAAACGATGATTTTGTAATGTAGAAAATTATGAAAGACAAAATTCAGGATGACACGGCACACAGGGACCGGGAAAAAATGTTCACTTTATCGAGAGATTCAAATTTACGAGTTTCAAATTATCAAAATATATCTTTTTTTTTTATAAGTTTATAGAGAATTGTTTTAACAAATGTTCGTTAGACAAACCTTTACTCGGGTAAAACCTCGGGCGAAGCCGGGTACGTTCGCTAGTATTTTATAAATATAATGTAAATAAAATATTTTATTTAGCATTTTTAACTTTAAATATTTTATTTATCAATTTTTTACTCAATTTCTCCTTTTTTTTTATATAAATTTTAATTTATATTCAAATGGTATCCTCCCACGTGCTTACCACGTCACCACCACCGCCGCGCATGCGCCGACTTGGCTTACCCAGCCGGCCGAGGTGGTGGCGGTTGAAAAGGCTGTTCAAAATTGGCGTTGGGTCAAAACACCGTCACAATATAATTTTTTTTAGCAAATAAATATCTTTTCATTCAATCCAATATAAGCCTTTTTAAGACAATGATAAGCTCCCTATTAGCTATAGAAAAAGAAAACACAAGTCAGGGAGAAAAGTTTCTTTTATAAGAGGGGAATCATACAAGCTTTCTGTCAAGATGTCCTTCCACGGGCACAGGAAGGTGTCTTGTCCGAAAGCTTGTACGATCGTTTTCTTATATTAAGAAGCTATTCTCCTCTCTCGACCTGTGTTTCTTTTCCTATATGCCTTTTTATCTAATACTAGACGAATGACCCGGGCAACGCCCGGGTTTTACCCGATTAAATGTTTTATTCAAACACTATTCGTTACAATTATAAATTTGGCGCCGTGGATGTCACTCTTGCGAAACGTCCCGCTCCAAACTTTACATGTACATTAGGTCAGCTGATATTACCTCCCATCTTCACCGCTAGAGGCGCTGCTCGCGAGCAAAAGGGCAAACTCGACGAATATTCGGGATAGAGACCTGAAAATTTCACTATAAGTTTTTTCCAGATTCTACTCTATATACTGTTAAAATTTCAGTCAGATTAGTTACGATATAAATCTTCAAATCGAGCGAGCGTCTATAAATATTTCGATTTAGATCAAGTATTCTAATTATTAAGCGAACTATTATTAATAAAATTTTGAGAAGATTTCGATTTTAAACGTATTTATAACCTTGATAGAGGGCGCTGTTCGTGAGCTAAACAGAATAATTTGAATATATAGTTTTAATATTTAATTTATATATAATATTTAAAATAGCCTATCGCTTTCCTCGTATTTTTCTTACCTATGTACGGAAATTTTGGTACAGTAAAAAAAAACTGTTTCAATAATTAAAAAAAAAAAACACCCAGGCTAAGTTTTGAACCAAGGTTGTGGAAATACGAAGCCGTACACCTAACCATTAAGCTACGCTTGGCATCATAAATATTCGCATGTAAAGCTATTTCAGGCCTTACATATTTCTAACGACCTTTTTGAAATAGGTTTTTGAAACATGGAAATTATAATACTTCAAATAAATAGAAATAGAGTGAACACAAATAAAACATACCAAATATTTCGAATTAGAGCAGTTATTTTAAACGGCGAATTAGATCAGTTATATCTAAAAATGAAAATATATAAATAAATAAAACATACCAAATATTTCAAGAGCATATTATATTATATTATATGTGTTATTAAGCGAACTATTATTAATAAAATATTGAGAAGATTTAGATTTTAAACGTATTTATAACCTTTTAGTACTTGATAGAGGGCGCTGTTCGTGAGCTAAGTAGAATAATTTGAATATATAGTTTTAATAATTAATTTATATATATTTTAAAATAGCCTATCGTCATCCCCGTTATTTTTTACCTATGTATGGAAATTTCGGTTTGAATTAGTGAACTACTGCGAATTTGTATACCGTGCATACAGACCAACAGACAAACATTCATTTATATATATATAGATGTATATATACTATATACTATAAAACACCATATATATTATTGTATGATTCGATATATGTGTATTTACAATTTAAAATATATATGTTATATAAAAATGAATAGAAATGAGATTTTCTGCTTGATTTGGGAATATCTTGAGGATTATACTATGTTAATGCAGTCGTGGTTAAAATCTTGAAAGAATAATAATAAGAATGGTTTTGTTCAGAGGTTGCTTTAATTGAGCTAAGGAATATATAAAATACATAATTTGGTAAAAGTACTGCCTGGCTTAAGGCGTGAGAATAAAAAAAATAAAAAGCTTATTTACATAATGTACAAAAGTTTTGAGCCGGCCAACGGGGAAAAAAACAACGAGTTTTTATATGCAAAGCGTGACCTCTGGCGGTCGATTTAACAGAGTATTTGTATCTATGAAATATAATTCCAAATAAAATAATATTTTAATATAACATATATATGATTTGCATAATCAAAAAGTTGAAACAGGATAATATCACATATGTATATATAATAAATGAATCCAATTTATGAATCCTCTCTCCCGGCCGAGTGATTAAGCTCGTTTCTGATTAGCTGTTGGAAGCATTATTTTGTAATTAGAATGACGTCACACGGCCTCTGTCGAAACTCGTTATTTCCCAATGTAATTATTCCCATTGTTATATCGAGAATTCAACTTGTGCTCTCAAATAATTTCAATTATTTACATACACCTCATTAAATTTGGCAATACCATGCTCTAATTGAGATATTGTATATTTATTATAATTTTTTTTGCTTATCCCTAGTACACGTTGTACAGGCCACGATAATCATGGTGGGTAGTTAGCGACTGCTTTTTTACTGTACGCGCACCACATGTCTACACATGTGAAAGCAGTTCGACTTTGCACTTACAAATGTGCCAGAGCCCCGTATGGTTACTTGCACTTGCTGGCGGAGTTGGACTTTTGCAAGAATCGGGGGCCCATTGGAGCATTTTTATTTATTTATTTTTTTAACAGAAAAACTGTCCAATGCGGGAATCGAACCCGGGTCATAGTGGTCGAAAACCAAACGGTTTAACCAGCCTTCCGCCGACCCCCATTATAATTATAAACGCATTAAACATATTTTGAACTAATGGAAATTTTTCCGAGTGGATGTGGTTTTTAGTGTCCATCAAGTCAAGTTCGATTTTCTGGTGACACTATGGACAATTATTCTCCAATTTGATCTGTTGGTGACCATCACTCGCAGCTGATCTAGTGACCTTCTGGTGGTTTTCTTGACCCCTTCTAGCCAGCTCATTGCAGGACTTCCTCTCTTCCTTCAATTCTTCCCAACATCAACATATTTTCTAAATCAATTAAATGCGGAGATCCCGGAAGGTGTTGATTTTGAAAGGGCGCAAGAAATCCCGTGCCACAGAGCTTCAACCCACAAATATACCAGATACAAGACAACCTCTTCGAAGTTTACCTTCGTCAAAAATGGACTCTTCGTAATCATCAATCACTTACTTGGCGACTATAAACTACCTTAAAGAAACCCTTTTTTTTTCTAAATCATTTGCTCTCATTATATGTCTGAAGTAGGTCAGTCTTTATTTACATATTTGAGATTATAGGAATCTACCAGGATTAATTTTATTTAAGATTGAAACATTTGACTTTATATCTGTCCATGGCACTTTCTTTAAGTAGCTTTCTCGTGTCCACATTTCAAGGACTTCAATTATTTTTCTTTCTTCGCGTTTCTGAGAGAGTCCAGATCACACACATCCATAAGTTACAAAAGAAAACCATAATGGGTTTTCCATTCTCTTTTTCGTCTTAAATGAAATGCTTTTTATCTCACATATTCTTGTTCAATTTCATCCTTGTATCTCTTCTCCAAGTACAATTATTCTTTTTACTTCCTCTAAGAAACCTCTCATCTTATCAATACCGGATCTAAGAAAATGAATTGAGACCGAGATGATATCGATCTGAAAAAAAAAACAACAGAAAGATAATCTTTTCCGTCAAAATAGACACAAAACTGTGTGAGCGCCTATTTAATGCTATAAAATTATAATAATCAAAAAAACCTATTAATATATATGTGAGAATCATTTTATGCATTATAAATTAAAATGAAAAAAATAAAACGCTAATGTTTCTTTCACATATAAATCAAACTTTTCTACTGTCCTTACTGCAATGAAAAAAATATTGGGAGGGCTTGGCTAATCAGTGGTGAACCCTTCCAGCGGTTTCGTTAATTTAATCTACCAGACCGCTTCTTTAGAGTTCTAATACTGTATTGGATCATTCTGCTTTTATATGATGCACTGAAGGGTGGAATCTCAGAAATGGTATTTAAGAAACTAATGACATAAGCTTTAAGGACAGTAGAATTACATATACCAAATTACATATTTACATCGAGCAATGCTCTTCTGAAAA